TGTCTAAATGCGTTGATTTTGCATAACTTTTTGAAATTTTTAGGTGAATATGAAGACCTTCTTAGTCGTCCTCTTGGTGGTTTTCTTGTTTGGTAAGTATAAATGTATATAAATATATGTCAGATGACTTCATCTTTTGCATCGTCAACTTTCCTTATCAGGCCTCCATCTGATCTCTAAAATTTAGGCGCCAACTGGCTCCTTATTAAAAACGTTTAGTTGCCAATGCAAATTTTTAGTCGCCAGGTAAATTTTTCTTAAGCATTTATTTAAAAACTGACATCAATCAATATATAGAGACATGTCCATTGCTAACTTTTAAACTTCTTTTCTGCTCTTTTTTTTTTTTTTTTTTTTTAAAAATGAAAATGTTTATCACCAAGTCAATTTAAAATGGTCGCCAATTTGGCGACTTGAAGAATTTTTTTTAGGCGCCAATCGTAATTTTTAGGCGCCATGGCGACCAAATTAGGCGCCAATTAGAGCCCTGCTTATTTATGTGCTATCATCTGCATATGGTGTTTATGTCTTCCAACTTACTCGATACTCAAAAGCATGCTCTGAGTACAATCAATGCGTTAAACAAAAGCAGGTTACTAACAGATAAGTTGATGTTACAGGGATTTTAACACCCTCGATTAAAGTCAGCATTTTGTAAATCCTGTGGTCGTTATACGAGGGGTGATCAAAAAGTTCGCGAACTATTTCTATATTTACAAAACCACAATTCAGATCAGAATGAAATTTGGCACACAAATAGTCATAAACATGTTCTATAAATTTTTACGTAATGTTTTTGCTCCATGCTTGTGACGTCACAATGTGAAAATGACGTCAATATGTAGGTGACTTGTAACAAAAAATGGCTGACTCAGTCGTACTCGAGCAACGAAAGGCTGTAAAGTTTAACGTATATCTTGGAAATTCCTTTGCAGTAGCATATAGTAATTTGTACAAGGTTTATGAAGACAAAAAACTTGCCAGAAGTTCACGCAATCATTAATTGGATTGATTGTTTTAGTCAAGGAAGGGAGATGGTTAAAAATATGTTTGTTCTAGTACCCAATGAAAGTAAGCTGGAGAAGAAATGTGTCCTTAGTTGAGCAATTTGTTACGAAAGATCGCCAAGTCACAGTTTGAAATATAGTTGAATATTTTAAGAATATTATAATGATTATATCACTAAGTACCGTTTACTTTAGACTTTAAAACATATCAGATATGATAAAAAGAAAGCGCCCATACTTTATCCACTATGGAAAAACGACGCACCCAAGACAAAGAAGTCCGGCTGTGACGGTCACCATGCTCATTCTGGAAAAAGATATCCTTATCAACCCATCCTATTGCCGAGATTTGGCCATTTATGACAAATGGACGATTCTTGTTTTAAAAAATAAGTTGCATGGTAAGAAAAAAAGACTCGGAAAAATCTTTTAGCTTCGGTGAACAGAACGCTACGGAGCATGTCACGTGACCGCCTGGATCACGTGATTCGCGCATGGGCAGAAGGGTTGCTGTTGTGCATTTAAATCGGAGAGGACTACTTTACAAAATAATAAACACCGAAATCTAATTTTATTTCTTTTATGGAAGTTATTCAATTAGTTCGCGAACTTTTTGATCACCCCTCGTAGTAACCTTGTTAGGAAATATAACCTATCACTGGGTCATATTTAGACTAGCATAGGCCTTTTTTTTTTTTTTTTTTTTTTTTTTTTTTTTTTACTGAATTTGACTACGGAATATTCCGTCTACCTGATCAATACATAAGGCTCACGGCGGGTGTGACAGGGAATGCTTACTCCTCATAGGCTCCTGATCCCACCTCTGGAATTTACAGGGGTTCGTGTGCCCTCTTCACAGATTTTTTTGTTTGTAGGATTTTTTAGAGATCGAGCACTGTTCGTTATCCTCACCCTTTTCAGATAACATCTTTCTCAAATTATTTCCAAGTTCTAAGAAGACATGAAACATGTGGCGGTTCTTTACAATTTTTACGCTTGCAAACAGACCCGACTGTTTTTAATTTTGAAAAAAAGATGTTCATATTTACTAAACATATATGAAATAGATAAATTGTATTTTTTAGCTCTACTGGTCAGAGACCAGAAGAGCTTATGCGATAGTAAGGTGTCCGTCGTCGGTCTGTCTAGATGTCCGTCTGTCTGTAAACGATTTTTCAAAACGCTACTCCTCCTACAGATTTGGTCTGACATCAATATATTAAACTTTGCACACAAGAAGACTACACTAAGTAATGATGGCAACAACGCTCACAAATTACGGTTTTTGATTTTAATGAACAGTGTTGCCATGGTTACTTTAAATAGAAATTTCTGTAAAATACTTTCAAAATGCTACTCCTCCTACAGTTTTGGTCTGTTTTTAATGTAACTTGGCACGAAATTCCAAAGTAGACTACACTATGATACATAATTTAGTGCATCGGTTTTTTATTTTGATAAATGGTGTTGCCATGGTTACTTAAAATAGAAATGTCTGTGAAATTCCTTTAAAACACTACTCCTCCTACAGTCTTGGTCTGATTTCAATATAACCTGGCTTACAGTTAGACTACACCAAGATACTTAATTTAGTGAAACCGTTTTTGATTTTGATGAACGGCGTTGACATGGTTACTAAAAATAATTAATTTATATGAAATACCTTTAAAATGCTACTCCTCCTACAGTTTTGGTCTGATTTCAAAATAACTTGGCACACAAGTAGACTATACTTAGATACATAATTTAGTGCATGGGTTTTTGATTATTTTTTTTAAAGCAGTGTTGCGAAACAGAAATTTCTGTGAAATACTTTCAAAATGCTACATGTATTTCTCCTAAACTTTTAGTCTGGTGTCAGTATAACTTTGCACACAAGTAAACTATACTGAGATACATGATTCTTTTTATACATGTAAATGTTTGGGGTTTTTTTGTGAGCATTGTTGCCATCATTACTTAAAATAAAAATAATTGTGAAATACTTACAAAATGCTACTCCTCCTACAGTTTTGGACTGATTTGAATATAACTTGGATACAAGATTTCATACTCAGATAAATAATTTTGTGTACCGTTTTTGATTTGGAATAATGATATTGCCATGGTAACTAAAAATAGAAATTTCTGTGAAATACTTCCAAAATGCTATGCCTCCTACACTTTTCATCTAATTTCAATATAACTTTGTACACAAGTAGACTACACTTACATAGATGAACGGACTTGCCATGATTACTAAAAATAGAAATTTTGGTGAAATTCTTTCAAAAGGCTACTCCTCCTAAAGTTTTAGTCTGATTGCAATCTTGCCACAAAAAGAGAGTAAACCAAGGATCATTATTCTATTTATTGCTGTTGCATAGTTTCAAGTGCATGTGCTACTTTTCTCTTCCTTTGTTTTAAGTACAAACCAGTAGAGCTACAGTCTCATAAAAGATTTCTGGTTTTCTACTTTTTCCCTGTATACTTCTAAAAGCATGTATTTGATCTAAGAGATCACATTACTTTTTTGTCGGAAGAGACCGGGGCATAAATTGTGTCTTTCTATTTACAGCTATGGGAAGCACCACAAATCCACCAGAAGCTCAAGAAAAGGGATGTTGGTGGGGGCACTGTGGGAAAAAGAGAGAGATTTCGGAGGATGTTGCTAGAGCAACCAATCCTGATGACCCAGACTGTGGTTGGTGGGGGTGTGGTAAAAAAAGGCAGGAAAGAGAAATCCAGAAAACAATCATGCAGGCCAGGAGAGAAGCTGAGACAAATGAATAGCTATAATGGCAGATTTTCTTCTTTGTATGTTCTCCAGAATTTAATATAAAAGCAAAGTATTTGTTAATTTACATTTATGTTTGCTTTTCTTTCGATGCTCTTTTAAAAGATCCGAGTTGCAGAAGTGTATTGGCAGAGGCAGTAGGTTTTGCCATTGATCAAAGCAAGAAAGATCTATTTTATAGACATTAATTAGTAAGAAAAATGGAATAGAATTGGAAAAAGAATTAATTAATTAAAGAAACCAGGAACCTATATACTTAGCATATAGGTCCCTGAAGAAACCCATAATTTCACAAGAAAAAGGGGAAATAAATTACACTAGATTTTTATGTACATGCACTAGTATTGAACAAACCAGGGTTCAAGACATACTGATATATTTCTAAGGAAACATTAGAAATACATGGACTTTGACAATGGACTATAAATGGAACTTGAAGCATCATTTTTTAAATAATGCATAAAGTTGTAGATAAATATAAAGTTGTCTTATTTATTACACAGCAGGCACATGCCATCAATTTTCAAAAGGGGGGGTTGCCAAAAAAAAAATGATAAGCATAAGCATAAATACTCATTATATTTTGAAACATACACACACTAACAAAGATGGTGGGCTGGATCCTTTACTCTTTCCGCCTACACAGGTCCTAAGAAAACCGAGAATTGTCTAAAACAATGCTATCCCATTGATTTACCTGTTAAAGTAACTGTATTCCATTTAAAAATGGCCACAATAGAATGAACCAAACAAAGAATTGGGATTTCTGAGGGAAATCCCCACAATATCCTGTTCTCTTCCTATCGTGAATATAAGCGACACTGAGAGAGGGTTGATCACTGAACACTTCTTTACACGCACATTGGGTAATACACATAGCAAGACCTCTGTCTCTTGATCAACTTACATTCATATCCTGATTCAGTTTTAACAAAATTGAAGAAAACAATCCTACACCTCACGATTAGATAAATGTGAAATTTGATTAAATTTAACTCGTCACTATCTTTGCTAACCAAGGGTGTGACCATTGGCAACAATCCACAAAAGAGAAGATTGAAGAATCACCCTTGGCTAGTGAATTCCCCAGATTTTTATTGAAATTTCAAAACTGTTCATTACTTTTAGATTTTTCTTGTGGATAAAATGTTAAAAAAAAATAAACCTTTACCAGATCCTTAGGAGAAAAAAAAAAACATTTGACTAGACTGAAAACACATTCTTTGTAAAATTTCAATCAATTTCAATTTTTCAGTTTAATATCTTACAAAGAGAGGCAATCTTGGGTGAAAATGGAACCTTCTTCAAACTTTATTGATGGAATTAATACACAATAAATAACATTTCACATATAATACTGATATACCAATGTCTCTCTTAAAATCACACCTATGAATTAAGTGATAAATGCGCATGTCATGTCCATGGTAACCATCCTTTTTTCTGTCCAGACTCAGACGCTATGTCCGGTAAAGAAGAGGATTTTTTCACACTCATATTTTTCAGTTCTACCTCTGTGACTTGATTTTGTCTATTTTTCAGCAATCTACCCCCAAAAAATCCTGTAAGAAAAAATAACTGACAAATTGAAATGCAATAAGAATTTTCATACTGGGATCATTTGAAAAATTAGACAAAGTTAAATATCTCATTGTTCTTCAAATAAAATATTTTATCTATAGAATGAGACATTTTTCACACTAATTATTAGACCATTATTTACACACTGCATTGTCTATGAATTTTTCTGTTTTTTCCTGATCATGACAAGGAGCACACAGAAAGTGTGACAGGTCAGCTGGAAATGCTCACTCCTCCATGGCACCTGATCCCAGATCTGATGCTTTAGGAGGTTCATGTTTTCTCTGCTCCTGATTTGTATTGTTTAAATGGACTTTGAGCTTGAATACTGTTCATTATCTCCATATTTCATGTAGTGAAAAACTCTCCTTGAATGGGCTGAATCCTCCATCAAAGATATGTATGGTACAAACAAGTATATTGCATATAAGAACAATAATCAGGTAACTTTGTACTGGGGTATCGAAAATATACATCAATGAAAATTCAGGATAGAGATGCTCTGAGGCATGAAAAAATTGCCAAGATTTTGAGGTGGATGAAGGATAAGATTCCCAGGTACCAATGGCTGTACAAAGGATATTTTGGAGGTATGGGTTATATTGTTCAGCCAATCTGTATAAAGTGATACGGTCTATAACTCTGCATACATGTATATTTCAATAAAAAAAAAATATATTTGGCATAGAAGCGTATTTTCCTTCTTTGCCAAAAAGTTATGGTGATTCTGACTGTAAAATTTAAACCTCTGAGGTAATGGGAAAGAGGGAAATCAATTAAATTAAAATGCAGATTACTGAGGTCTGTAGCCAAAGCCATATATGGAAGATGGGTGGGTGGGGGAGTGGATGCTAATGTAAACACTTAGTCAATTTTCTTCAGATACATGGCTTTCCTTTCCATTTAAAGAAGGGTCCAATTACTGGGGGGAGGGGGGGGGGGGAGGGTGTCCAAGGTCATTACTGTTATTTTCACATTGAAATCAATTAACTCTAAAATTTCATGGGGTGGGGTGGGGGATGAACCCCTTGACCTCCCTCTAGATCCATGAATGTATCCAGATCAGTTATAGATGTTATGGCAAGACAGGCTTGCAGAATGAATAAAACTGTGGCCAGAAAATTTGGGTCAACAGAGGGATACATGCTGCATATTCCTTGGTACACAATGAAATATGTAAAAAAAAAAAAAGTTCGCAATCTATTGAAGGAAACTTTCTTTTCGTGGCTGTACATTTGCATAGAAATTTCTGGCCACTATGGCTCTACATTAAACATCACTTACCAGCTGTCCCTCCAATTCCCACCCCCACAACGCCCCCTATTTTGGCCCCAGCTATCAATCCTACTGGTCCTGCCACCACTGTACCAAGAAGGGCACCTGCTACTGGGAATATAGCAGCTTTGTATTTGGATGCCTGAAAGATAATGAATTACATTTAACAGTGCCATATGTTTAATGAATTCAACAAGCATATAGGCCATACACAATATATTTTAAACATTGATGTAAAAAAAAAACTGAAGCAAGTAATCAGCTAGTAATCTATATTTCATCCATTTGACTAACTGACTTTAATATAAGTGAACGGGGGAAAGTTTTCCATAAAGGTTGCATTGACAATCATTCGTTCCTATATCCTAAATTCAATAACTATATTTTGTGCATATTAATATCTTAATACCTTATTTGACAAATATATTGCTGAAGTAGCCAGTACACAAATTATTGAAAGTTCAATTCAGGGGCATAGCTAGGACTTTGATGATGTATAGGCACAAATTATGGTGAGGGGTCTGGGGGCCACTTGAGGCCCCCAACGGGTCCAGGGCAGCACACTGGTAGAGGGTTCAGGGTGTTGAAACCCCCCAACAGAAAATGATTTCCAAAGGAAAACATTTTGAAATTGACCCATTCAGCCTCAAATGTTTAACTAACTTTTCATGATGTAATAAAAAAATTGTTAGAGACTTAAAATTCCACATACATTTATATCACACATATTGGGTATTTCAAGTACACATTATGACCTGACAATTTATACTATGGTAAACATATCTTGTTAGCATCAAGGGAGTTTTATATCTACTTAATTAATTGCATTTAGAAATATTAAAGACAGTTTATAGAGAGTTTTACAGGAAAACAGCTGATTAACTATTGCGGGTTATCACTTTGCACAGTCTGGTGGTAGTTTATACATTAATGATCTCTATCAAAGGTGAAAATGATATTTAATCATTTATTTTCTTTCTTTTTATCATTTTTGTTTTACATAATTATTTTTATCTAAAAAAATTAATTGAGGCACATGCCTTAAGAGCCTAATGGCAGCTAAGGCCCCTGTTCATGGAACAAAATAGTACCTTTCCCAGTTGAATGGCCCCCTTTTGGACTCCTTCGTGTGCTTTCTCAATGTTGTCCTCAATTCTATCAACAGTTTCTTGTTGTGTCTGTAAAAAAATGTTTTGTAAAAAAAGACAAAATTAAACGCTACTTAAAATACACCAATATTTTACAAAAAAAATTCTAGTGTTGCTAGATTTACTTCTAATTACCAATTTAAAATAATTTAACAATGAAAAGTAAAATTCAAAAAGTAGGTCACTATCAGGGATGGGGTAATTGAAATGAGTAATTGTAATTTACTATATTTAAATACATTTTTTCTAAGTAATTGAATGTATTTGTAATAGAGTTTGCTTTCAATTACAAGTAATTGAATGTATTTAAATACATTCCAAAAATGTCATGTATTTTTCAATTACATTTCAAATACTTTATTTTTCAAGTAACATATTTAAAAAAGGTGTTTTATCATGATGCATACCAGTACTGTTTGGCATGAATTTGTGTTTATTCAATAATAAAATACCTAATAATGTTTATACAGCATAAACACACTGCCCAGGTCAATAGGAAAGGTAAAACTTATAATAAAATTGTGGCTTCAAAATATTCATGTATTTGTTCTTCAAAATTTTTGGAAATAAATTAAAATAATTGATATATATTTAATTACATTCTTCAAAGTAATTTAGAGCAATTAATTACATTTGTTAAAATCAATGTAATTGTAATTGCAAGTAACTGACAAAATTATCAATGTATTTGAAAGTATTTAATTACATTTCAAAGTAATTGACCCCAACCCTGGTCACTATGTCCATCTTTCAAGTTTATCATTTAACAATTAACATTGAATTAGTCTAGTGCTGCACAACATATTCAATTAAAATGATCTGACAGAAGCTATAAAATTTCAAAAGTAGGTCACTGTGACCTATTTTGTAGTTGTCATGATGAAAAGATTTAATGATTCTAGTCTTATGTTATGCTTATGTTACAGTGTATGAACCAGATTGGTCAAAATTTGACAACTTGATCTAAGAAGTAGCATTTTTAGCAACCAGTATGTTTTAAGTACAGTCAAGCCTGGTTATCTTGAACCCAATGGGACAAAGAAAATACTTTGAGATATCCGAGGATTCAAGTTATCCAGGGTAAAATACTTAAAGAATAAGGAGTTTGAACTACCAAATGACTTTGACGTATCCATGGTATTCGAGAAATCAGTGTTCAAGATACCAAAGTTCAACTGTATATTAAATTATCTACCCTTTTCAAAATTTGATTAAATCAAAGCAAGAACTCTTCCCAAAGATCTTTATCAATCTGTAATAAATTTGATGAATACAGGTACATGTATTGGCTTAGATAATCTCAAGACATGGACCAAATGGTATGAATGGCCTTAGTATTTAAACTATAGCTACATGCAGGCATTCAGTTTTTAAGATCAGCTGTAAGTTTTATTTGAACTCTCATTACCAAATTATAACTACTGCGGATCAAATTTTCATGACACCATATTTTCACGGGAAAGTAATTTATGATTTATAAGCAAGACAAAAATTTCAAGAAAGTTTGTTATTATAGTATATATTTTTTAATAGTTTAAATATAAGAATGAAATTTTGGCTTTGCGTAATTACATGAAAATAAAGTGATTTACAGTATTCAAATGCAATACATCTGGAAGGTCTGAAAATCTGTTTAAGCTTACCTTCACTGCACTTGAAAAATCATGTATTAAAGAATTTAATTCCACCAAGTTCTGAAAATGAATTAATGTATATCAAATTAGACATGCTAATTGCTATCAGTAACTTTTTGAGTAATAAATATTTGCTCTCATCAGAAAACAAGAGGCCCAAGGGCCTTAACGGTCACCTGAATATAATACAACAATTTAGAAGTTAAATACACTGATAGTTGAAGCTTTGTTGCCCTAAAGCAAGAGAAGTAGGAAGATCAGGATCAACAAAATAATTAGTCTAGTATTCAGTATCAACTCATAAATTAAGTTCTAATTTGTCCCCCACTTAACACTATGCAGACTATTAACAAACTATTAGTGCTTCTGTACTATTTATAAACCCATATTAAGACCTCTAGCATTGACCTCTCTTATGGTCTTTGAAGAACTTTTAATAAGATAAGTTATTTTTGTCTCATTTTTATTTATCTATTACTTACAGGTCTACCTGTTTATTAAAACTAAGAAAGTACTTTTTTAATTATACAATAAACATTCTTGCATAATTATCTTATTCTATTAACCTTTCAAATACATTATTTACAGTGATTAATTATCAAAGGTGAATGGAAAAGGGGAATAACTTCTCTCAGTAGGATACAAATTAATAGAGCCCTGCCCAGGACCAGAATGCTTAGACCAATGGTCCAGATGTTTAAAAATCTGGTAGAAATACGCTTACTCATATCATTTAAACTTTTACTCAGTTTGCTTCCAATATGCCCAGAAGCAGAGAAGAATTTCACTGGTACAATGCATTTTCACTACAGATTCAACAAAGCCTTACCCTAACACCAGAACCCAAGACCAAGGGTCAAGAAATTTACAAATTTGGAAGAGTTACCCTCATCATCATAACTATGGACTTTAAAGAATTAACACTTTTCCACTATATTATCAAAAGCCCCCCCCCCCCCTCATTATGCCAGAACCCCTGACCCTAGGACCACAAGATTTAAAAATTCTGTTCGAAGCTCCCATTTTCAACATAGCTAAGCAATTTCTTTATCAGCTCAACACTAAGGAGCAGACAGGATTAATTAATGATTAATAGAATTAATGCTTTTTCACTATATAATCAATAGAGCCCCCCCCCCCCTCCTCAAGAACCCCAAAAACTGAGGCCATATATTTAAAAATTTTGGAAGAGGCATCCTTGTCTATCATAATCATGCACTTAGTTTGTTTATATAATCTCCAGTAGCAGAGAAGAAGATTTTCAAAGAATCAATGCATTTTCATTATATAATCAATAGAGCCCCGCCCTAACACCAGAACCCCTGACCCTGGGGCCATGAAATTCACAATTTTTGAAAAGGCATCCTTATGCATCATAACCATGCACTTAGTTTGTTTAAATAATCTCCAGTAGCAGAGAAGAAGATTTTCAAAGAATCAATGCATTTTCATTATATAATCAATAGAGCCCCGCCCTAACACCAGAACCCCTGACCCTGGGGCCATGAAATTCACAATTTTTGAAAAGGCATCCTTATGCATCATAACCATGTACTTAGTTTGTTTAAATAATACCCAGGAGCAGAGAAGAAGATTTTCAAAGAAATAATGCACTTTCACTATATGATCTATATAGCCCCACCCTAACACCAGAACCCCTGTCCCAGGGGCCATGGCTTTCACAATACTGGAAGACGCCCACCTCCTCCTCATAACTATGTACTTAGTTTATCACCTTAACGCCCAGAAGCAGAGGAGAAGATTTTCAAAGAATTAATGCATTTTCACCATATAGTCGATAGAGCCCTGCCCTAACACCAGAACCCCTGACCCTAGGGCTATGAAATTCACAATTTTGGAAGAGGTACTCTTGCTCATCATAACTATGTACTTAGTTACTTTATTTAATATCCAGAAGCAGAGAAGAAGATTTTCAAAGAATTAATGCATTTTCACTATATAATCTATAGAGCCCCGCCCTAACACCAGAACCCCTGACCCTGGGGCCATGAAATTCACAATTTTTGAAAAGGCACTTTTGATCATCATAACTATGTACTTAGTTACTTTATTTAATACCCAGGAGCAAAGAAGAAGATTTTCCAAGAATTAATGCTTTTTCACTACATAATCTATAGAGCCCCGCCCTAACACCAGAACCCCTGACCCTGGGGCCATGAATTTCACAATTTTGGAAGAGGCACTCTTGCTCATCATAACTATGTACTTAGTTCCTTTATTTAATACCCAGGAGCAAAGAAGAAGATTTTCAAAGAAATAATGCATTTTCACTATATAATCAATAGAGCCCCGCCCTAACACCAGAACCCCTGACCCTGGGGCCATGAATTTCACAATTTTGGAAGAGGCACTCTTGCTCATTATAACTATGTACTTAGTAACTTTATTTAATACCCAGGAGCAGAGAAGAAGATTTTCAAAGAAATAATGCACTTTCACTATATGATCTATATAGCCCCACCCTAGCACCAGAACCCCTGACCCTGGGGCCATGAATTTCACAATTTTGGTAGAGGGCTCCATGCTTATTACAATGATGCCAACAGTTTGACTGCTTGATGTCCAGGAGTAAAGAAGAAGATTTTTAAAGATTGCATTATTTTTGGTGGTTTTAGCCCCATCCCTCAGGCCCCAGGGGGGCAGGGACCATGAAATTCACAATTTTTGTTCCCCTTCACCCATAGATGCTATATACCAAATTTGGTTGAAATTGGTTGAGCGGTTCCAGAGAAGAAGCTAAAAATGTTCAAAAGTTTACGACCGACGTACGACGACAGACAAAAACGGATAGCAAAAGGTCACCTGAGTTTACTCAGGTGACCTAAAAATCCCTTTTTCATTTATATGGATTGAAGTTTAATCTAGATTTTCTTTCTTTTTTATACCGTACTTGAATACATTTTTGGCATAAAAACTGTATTCTATCCAGCCTTCCTTAAATACTTTTCAAAGTACATGTATTTATCTGTACACATGTAAAATGTTTTGCCCAGCTGGCTTTCAGTTACCTCATGTAAATTTTCCCAGGATTCCTCTGCCTGAGAACTGTCAGGGATATGGTGTAACTGCTCTGTCTCCACAATAAGAAGCTCATTCTCACTCACAGTTCTCTGTCTGCCGGAGAACACATCTGTGTCATCAGTAACAGTATTGCCTTGGAAAAGAATTTGAAAAAGATTGAACACAGTTACAATGTCTGCCGGAGAACACATCTGTGTCAACAGTAACAGTATATTGCCTTGAAAAGAAGAATCAACATAGCTACTGTGAAAACATTTCTCCTGTTATCATTATGTTTATAATTTTCATCTTTTAGAATACACATTTCTGACAAACAAAACCATGGAATATGAAGTATGTTTTCATCCTAGACTTTTTCATTAAAACGTGAGTAATTATGTTATTACCATAACTTTGAGATATTTCTGTTCTTAAATTCACAAAATCTTGCAGTGTGTGTATAGCTTGTTGTACCATTGGGTCTGTTTTAGTGTCAAATTCTTCAATATCTTCATCCATGACCTGTGTTCTTAATTTTTTGATTTCTTTGATATTTGCCTTAATCTGTTGAACTGTCCTTGTAGCATTCACATTCTCTCGGTTAAGAGCACTCCAATCATTAAGTCTATTGAACTGAAATTTTTACAGGAAATTGAGATTGCAATCCACAGTGTAGCAAAGAATATGTATCATACATTATTTAAATTGGCAATTTCATATATAAAAAATGTATTTAAGAAAATGAAAGAGATGATACTTTTTCGACATTCAATCTGTGCTGCTGCAGTCTATCTATGTCTATTGTTATCACTTTGATGAACTTGTTGATAGATATTTCCAATCTTCTTAATGAAAACTTCTGCATTTCTTGAAGAGCAGTACTGCTTTGTTTTACTGCTTTGGATTCAAAGGAAGCCATCCTTAAGCTTTAAAAGATTTAATACATCACTTAAATTGTCAAGTACATCACTATCCCAGGGTTGTCCCTAAGACCTGGGGGCAGGAGAATTTCCCCACATTAATGACATAATCCCCAATTATTCTGGTACTCCCCCTCAACCCCCTGTTGGGAAAGGTACTCCAGACCCCATTTTACTTTTTAAATGTCCCCTGCTATTTCAATTCTTAGGGACAACCCTGTAATATTCTCTCTTTTCTAGTTACAAAATGCGTTTAATGATGCATATACATGTATTTTGGGGAGACCCTCTTTCAGAAAAGTTTAATGAAATAACTAAATCAAGCTAATTTGAATTGGTTAATCAACCTATATATCTTATTCAAGGTACATAGCTAATTCAAGAGATTGTGTCGGATTGTCACTGAAACATATGTCAGTATCTCGCATCAAGGCTCATTTGCCATGATTTGCAGCAAACTATTTAAGTTCCATTTTTTAAAAAATTTTTAAAGAGATAAACAAAAAATCCAGAGTCAAGCATAACTGGTCTTGAATATTTGTGTGAATTCATTTAAATAACTTGAACAGTGAACTTACTTCTGGTCGCAAAAGTGAAAGTAGAAAACAAAAGTAAGACGGGAAACGGAGCCCCTTTCCGTAATATAATTCTAATCTGTGAAAAAATAAATCTTATCTATGCTATGCAAAATTATTTTAAAATCTTCTTGTTTTGATCAAAGATATAATTTCATTCACTGTTGAAATCAGAAGGACAAATTGGTATAAAATAAAACAAAATAAGATTGTTTCCGTAGAATCCGATCTTTTTGGTTTCAGATTTTACTGTTTTCCCAAAAAATTTAATGATTTTGTTGGAAATACATTAAACTCAACAAATGACTGAGAATGAGGAGTGCCGAGTTTTGTTTGGCGATGGTAGTAATGCTGGTTAGCTTCACAAACGGTCAGTAATGTTTACACTAGAGCAGGTTTTCAATAAAATAAAATAATCTTTTGGATACCGTATATATACTCCAAAGTTTTATTATAATAATAAACTACAATTGCATAATTTGGTCATGAGGTCAATGGGGCAGTGTAGGCTTAAAATGAACATGGTAGGTTGAAGTAAGATACTTCTAATAAATTTGGTAGAATTTGTTTGCAGTCTTTTTATTGGGTGATAGCTGCATTTTAGTGAATTGATTATCAGGGACATGTATTCTTTGTTATATACGTCCCTGAAGTTATGAACTAATAGTTAAAAGTTGGCAGATAAAATATATTCTATGATATTGAGGTTGATGTCTTCATTATAGGAGATGTATCCAGTAAATTGCAGTATTATGAGTTTCTACAAATGTCAGATATTGAGCGTCGGACAAGACGGGGAGCGGATCCAAATCCTGCATCACATCTTCACCAATTTTGGTTCAAAGCATTTAATAGGTTTTGTACTTGAAGATTTGATTACTTTATCAATGTTTTTGGTTCAAAGCTGTGACAGTCAATCAGTCATATATATATATATTTCTTGGAATGCATCGTTTACTTGCAAAGAAAGCAAAGTTATAATTATCCTGAAAAACTTGCTCTGATCATGTTGATCATGATTTTATGAATTGTTTTTTACTTTATTCTTATCATAACAATCACTGTTTAAATTACTTTGGCAGCTAAAAATATGTATTTAAAATTACTTTTTCAGGAAATTGATAAATGTTGTTGAACATTAGCATGGTAATTACAAGGAACTCAAATTTCCTTATTAATTTTAAAAACTTCCTGATAAGGTATATAATATAAAACCATTTTATCATGTTCATACATTATATAAGGACTTAAGCTTCACCAGGAACTCCTTATTATATTTCAGGCATTTTCATTTAGTTCTTAAACAGTCCAATATTATAACTCAGGATTTTAAAGCTCGGACGCTGAGCAACCATTTGAAATATGAATTTTACGTTGCCAACTCAAACTTCCTCCAAGGCCATTTGTCAGGTAATAGCAACATGATGATTAATTTCCTGTTTATCTACAGTAAAACACAATTACAGCTAACATACTTATAATGAATTCACACTTACAGGGAATTGATTTTCATTCCCTGTAGTTTTAAAACATAACTTAATAGATATACATGTAATGAATTATGTTTCTAATAAACCAACATTGCTCATCCCTGGCACTTCACTATTAGCATGTTGTACTGTTATATGAATGAATGCTGTATACATAGATAAATGAAGTGAATTGTCTACTCTAACTTTCTAGTAAAGTGTAGATTTTTTTTTTAATTTCTGTTTGCTAATTGTTTCCTTTATTTGATTGTAATTATTTTAGATGATGACAGCTCACATGTTGAGGCTCATTGGGAGGGGGACATGTTATCAGCCAGTATAACGACAGCTGATGATATCATAGTACTGGAGGTACTGTTACACTTCATCATAATTAATTGTAGAAGCCATTTTATTTCGTGGAAAAGTACGGATGATCAGTATACACTACTTCATACCCACACTATCGAAAAGGGCAAGAGGACACAGAAGCTAACCCATGCTTATCTATCCCACCTTTGTTTCTGTGAAATAACATGGGAATAGTTCAAATCTGCACCATTATTTGATCTATCCCAGAGTGAAACCAAGTTGGGTTTATGGTCAGGGGGTCAAAACCTGTGGCTTTTTTAAATTAGATATATATATATGTCAAAAATCAATTTCAAGATGCATATATTTAGACTGTTGTGGTAGAGTGTTCAAATTAGTATGTAAACTAAGTGTTAGACACCAGATACCAGATCAGATTTCATTATAGAAAGTTTCTCGGATAATTTATCTGAATGCAAGATTTTGTGTACAGTGGGGACTTAAGTATCTCTTGAACTATCTTAATATGTTTGCCTTTAATTCATGATTATATATTATTAAAGTCCAAATCCTTTGTGTGATTTAGATATCCATAAGGATCAGAAACACTTGGCTAGTGAAGCTGTTCATTTTGATAATGAAACTAACTTTTTTTAGTGATCCTTCTTTCCTCATTTTGAAGTTTCTTTGTAATTACAGCCTTCATGGAGATTCTTGAAAGGTTCAGTGCAGAAAAGCAATGGTAGCATGATCATTTATAAAAAATCAGACATGGTATCTGACCCACAAAAGAAAGCTTTAGGATACAGGTAAGTTCATTCAGCACCATAACACATATACAGGACAGTTATTGTAAAAACATGGTGTATAGAAATAGGATATTTGACAATTTCAATACAAAGTATATTATTTTCAGAGTAAAATTTTGTGGTAACGATGCTGATATGTCCAGAGCAGCTGATGAGATTCCTTCAACACCTGAAAATATATTTTTAGAAAATTATTATACAGGTACTTGTAGCATTTCATAAGTTTTTAGTGTCCATTATTTTTGTGTTCTTTTATGAAACTGCAAAGTCTGACCAGATAAAATCTGTTTTGATTTTCTTTTAATTTTTCTAGTTTACAAGCATCGGAGATTAAAAAGAGAGCAAGATTTCCTAGGATCAAAGAAAATGTGTCGTCTTTTTGTTATTGCTGATTATAAATTTCATAAAAACATTGGAGGGAACAATAAACATACTACTGCCACATACATAGTAAGGAAATATGTCTATTACTGTAAACATACTACTGCTACATACATAGTAAGGAAGCCTGTCTATCACTGTAAACATACTACTGCTACATACATAGTAAGGAAACATGTCTATCACTGTAAACATACTACATACATAGTAAGGATACATGTCTATCACTGTAAACATACATGCTACATACATAGTAAGGAAACATGTCTATCACTGTAAGCATACTACTGCTACATACATAGTAAGGAAACATGTCTATCACTGTAAACATACTACATACATAGTAAGGAAACGTGTCTATCACTGTAAACATACTACTGCTACATACATAGTAAGGAAACCTGTCTATCACTGTAAACATACTCCTGCTACAAACATAGTAAGGAAACGTCAATCACTGTAAACATACTACTGCTACATACATAGTAAGGAAACATGTCTATCACTGTAAACATACTACTGCTACATAAATAGTAAGGAAACACGTCTATCACTGTAAACATACTACTGCTACATACATAGTAAGGAAACATGTCTATCACTGTATACATACTTCTGCTACATACATAGTAAGGAAACGTGTCTATCACTGTAAACATGCTACTGCTACATACATAGTAAGGAAACGTGTCTATCACTGTAAACATGCTACTGCTACATACATAGTAAGGAAACGTGTCTATCACTGTAAACATGCTACTGCTACATACATAGTAAGGAAACGTGTCTATCACTGTAAACATACTACTGCTACATACATAGTAAGGAAACGTGTCTATCACTGTAAACATACTACTGCTACATACATAGTAAGGAAACGTGTCTATCACTGTAAACATACTACTGCTACATACATAGTAAGGAAACTTGTCTATCCCTGTAATTATACTACTGCTACATACATAGTAAGGAAACATGTCTATCACTGTAAACATACTACTGCTACAGACATAGTAAGGAAACCTGTCTATCACTGTAAACATACTACTGCTACGTACATAGTAAGGAAACCTGTCTATCACTGTAAACATACTACTGCTACATACATAGTAAGGTAACATGTCTATCACTGTAAACATACTACGTACATAGTAAGGAAACCTGTCTATCACTGTAAACATACTACTGCTACATACATAGTAAGGAAACATGTCTATCACTGTAAACATACTACTGCTACATACATAGTAAGGAAACGTGTCTATCACTGTAAACATACTACTGCTACATACATAGTAAGGAAACATGTCTATCACTGTAAACATACTACTGCTACATACATAGTAAGGAAACATGTCTATCACTGTAAACATACTACATACATAGTAAGGATACATGTCTATCACTGTAAACATACATGCTACATACATAGTAAGGAAACATGTCTATCACTGTAAACATACTACTGCTACATACATAGTAAGGATACATGTCTATCACTGTAAACATACTCCTGCTACATACATAGTAAGGATACATGTCTATCACTGTAAACATACATAAATTAAGGCAATCAAAATTTAGTTCAATCATTCTCTTCAACTGATCGACCTATTATAATCTAGAGCACTAGAGATTTATCAACAGCATGAATGTTTATCATATATAAGCATGTGCATAAATTAGATTAAAGTATTTTTCATTTGACTTAATTACAGTAAAATTCTTTTATTACAACATGGATATAGTGAATTTACAGATGTAGTGAAGTTTTGGGGGATCCTCGGCATAATTTATTACAAATCCTTGTAAAATTTTATGTTGTGTAATGTAAGGAACTCTGATCTAGCGAATTTACAGGTCTAGAAAATTGATTTTTTTTTGTCCCATAGAAGTTAAAAATACAGTGTAATGAAATTTACATCTTTTATGATGAATTTTTAAAGATGTCAAAATGTAAAATATTGAACTAACATTATTTCTCAAGTACTTATACTACAAAGTTATTCATCAAAAAAACTTTAGATCTCCAGGGTACGTTTTATGTTAAATACTTCCCTGAACAGAATCTGTAGTCATACCTAAAGGAAAACATGTATAATATTTGTGAATTTGCTATACATGTACATGTATGTACTTTAACAAATTTGTTATATGGACTTGTGTATTTTATTAAATGCTAACACATGCTGACTTATTACTGAATAGACTGGATACTGAGATTACACACACTTGTTGTTTATTTTAAAGTGCTTCATTAACTATAAAGCTTTAGTCATTATGCTCTGTTATTTCTTTATCCAAAGATAGGTATAATGAATCGGGTAAACCAAATATTTATGAGAACCAGATGGCCAGATGAGAGTTCCAACATCCATGGATTAGGTTTTGAAATTGCTGAGGTAAGGCTTCATTGAATTCTCATGTTTTCATTATTTTCTGGTGAGATTGTAACTATACAGACCTAGTCAGGTATTGGTTAAGCTTGACCTTCAGCCTCGGTCAACCAATACCTGACCAGGTCCATATAGTCATGAGTAGACCTCATCAAAAGCTAATAATTGTATAGTATTGGAAGGGTATGGGGATATGGGTAAGAATCATCTATTTATATCATAATAGTGCAAATGTTTACATTATGGATGATATGCTATGGCTGCCAATTGCAAGTCAAAGAATAATTAAAACTCTGCTAAAAAATGATAAAACTCTGCTAGTTCAAGCTACCATAATCTATCAGGTTTTGACTTCCACATAGTGAAATTGCATTGCATTTTTAAGTGTAGAAGATCTTTACTTATCTAGTATTTTAGTGTCACATGGTTTTATTGGTACATTGTCAGTGAATAACATGTAAATAGGAAAAAAAGTTTGTTGCATTGTACAAAATTATGTGTTCTTGTTTACATTTCAGCTTGAAATCCATGAAAATTATACATACCAAGGAGTGCATTATAACAACCCAAATATAACCTGGAACACGACATACTTACTACAGGTAGCTAAGTACATGTATTACAGTTTGTGTCACTGTCATTTTTACTTGAATTTTTATTTAATGAAAAGCAGAATTGTATGAAGCTTTATAAAATTGGTCAGTATAGAATTCCTGCCTTTAATTATTACGGATCTGTCTAGCTCAACTATATTCATGTCTTGTTTTTATTTTGTTTTAGGTTTTCAGTCGTGGGACAGCCTTTAAGGACTACTGTCTAGCTTACCTGTACATTCATGTCTTGTTTTTATTTTGTTTTAGGTTTTCAGTCATGGGACAGCCTTTAAGGACTACTGTTTAGCTCACTTGTACATTCAAGTTTGTTTTTATTTTGTTTTAGGTTTTCAGTCGTGGAACAGCCTTTAAGGACTACTGTTTAGCTCACCTGTACATTCATATTTGTTTTTATTTTGTTTAAGGTTTTCAGTTGTGGGACAGCCTTTGAGGACTACTGTTTAGTTCACCTGTACATTCATGTCTTGTTTTTATTTTGTTTTAGGTTTTCAGTCGTGGGACAGCCTTTAAGGACTACTGTTTAGCTCACCTTTTCACTTATCACAGATTCTCTCGAGGAGTGCTTGGTCTTGCCTATATAGCAGGAAGGGGAAACAGTCAGCCAGGGGGCATATGTTCTACAGGCCCATCCCCTGGAAAAGGTAAACAGACATTTCAGTTCAAATATAAAAGTTATATCATGATTCTGCATATCTCCTATGTATCTATATATGTAGATAGAGGGTTTAAAGATGCAGTAAGCAAAAATTCATATTATCTTTGGCTGGGAAAGGAAAAGACATATTAATGCATTAAAAAATTCCACGTAACTTATTGAAATGTCAATATTTGTTGTCTTTGGAAAAAAAAATTAGTAAGAATTTTACCTGTTGGACCATTTATTTGTGTTTAGTATGGAATAACCTTTATGATATAAAGTTGTTTGTCTTTTTCCAAACTGTCTCATCTAGCCCAAGTCCTGATTGCAGGCAGTCTGGATCCCCCTTGTAATGTGGTCACTTGATTGTTTTATGCATGTGCTTTTGAAATTATTAGAATGTGGTGTTTCCAGTTTATTTTCCCTGAAATAAATTGTTAGTTTGCACATTTTTAATACCATTTGCCTTTATTGGTTTGCATATTGAGGTTAATTTTGTATGGTTTGGTTAATTGATCAGATACTGTACTTGCATTTTTATCTAGAAATAGATTATGTCATGGAATTGCTCTACATCAATTACATAATGTTTAGATGATACACAGCACACTTGTACAGCTAAATTGAAGGAGCATTGGTTACTATTCAAAGTCAATTTTGATTTTCACTTATGACATTGCATTCCCGTAGTGTTCAACTTTTGTAGCCTCAAAATAAAAATTTTGACTTAACGTTTTGACTTCCCCATCCATGTATTTGTGTTTTGAGTGCCAAAGCTTTCCACAAACCTTCAAGGAAAATACATGTGGAATGTAAAGATCTATTGTTGGTGAATTAACTTATTGAAAGTAGAATATACAAGAAGTCTTGTAGTTCTATAATAAGTCTTTCACATTTTCCAGGTGATTGAACAGTTAAAATTTTCAGGACAGGTCTATTCTATAGTCACTTTTATGTTGCATCTAGAGATGCATGTTTGATTACCTATGTTTCACCCTGCCAGGCATTTATACAAACACAGTCAAACCTCATTATTTAGAACTTGATGGGACTGAGAAAAAAACTTAGAGATATCCAAGGGTTTCAGATATTGAGGTTAAAATATGTAAAGAAAAATTGGTTCGGACTTTCCAGCTCACTTCAACATATCCATGGTACTTGAAATATTGATTTTTGAGATACCAAAGTTCAACTGTATATTGTTTGAGCTTTTTTAGAACTTTCAAACCCTTACATATGTTCCTGTATTATCTAGACTTAAGTATGTTTTATGGCGATGGGGCCTGGACAATAAAGGAACATAAGAATTTGAAAGTTCTAGCCCACTCTTGCCATTGAGCAGACAAAGTTGCAGAAAAGTGGCAATATGTATGCAACTTGGGCTTATTTTTGCATGCTAGTAAAATTTGTTTGGTAATCTTATGAGGCAACTTATACAAGTATACCTTATAATTTCTTGCTCCAACCCTTTTTACATAAATTTTAACTATAAGCTTATATGTTCTCAGTTTAAAGTTTGTTTTTCCTCTCAAAGTTAAGCCATTATTTTAGTCAAAAATAAAAATTATGCAAAAATTAAGATACTAGTATAGACTTCTTTCAAAAATCATTATCAGCAACTTGTTCCAAGTTGTATGGAATCTATTTTATACTTTATTTGCATTTCTATAAAGAAGTTATCTGTTGAATAATATACATGTATTTAATAATGAATTTCAATGCAATATATTTCATTTTATGCCCTCTCTTTCTTACTCTGTGTTTGTTCTGTAGTTTTCCGAACTCAAGGCTTTGACACAACATTTAACACAGGATGGAGCTCAGCTCAGAACAGTGAAGGGGACAGAGTTCTGTCCCTTGAGGCAGCACTTGTTATTGCTCATGGTAAAATAAAGAATTTAATGATTCAATTTCGTGATAGTATAGAAATATAAAAATCTACTCTATCACAATTTATTTATATAAAACATGGGAAAAAATTGCATATTTAAGAGATTGTAAAATCATGTACATGTATGATGTGTCTAAGTTCAAAAAGTGAAAATTTTAATTCATATGAACTGAAATATGTATATGGAGCCTATATGCCTATACATGTATATATAGATGTCTCAAAAAATATTCTGCTGACTGCTATATTATAAACCAGTTTTTACTCTTTAATTTTCCAGTGTTTTTTATATACTCGCTTATCAGAAAAATTGTAGGCATTTTCACCTACATTGGGTATTCATTCTTCTGTAAAACTTTTTTCTTCTTCTTTCATATTGACACAGAACTAGGTAAGTCTAACCATTGAAGATGTGTAAATAGTTATATTATTTGCTTTGAACAGATAAAAAAATTCATTGAAGTTGTGAGAGGACCAGTGAAGTTTCTGAATTTGTATCCAATCTGCTTAAAACAATATAATCCTTGAAATTTCTTTAAACATAATGTGATTTAACATGATGTATATTCATTAATGTGCAGTTTGTGTATACAATTTTGAGATAAATGTGCTTTCCTAATAATGACTGAGGTATGGTGTAGTGTTTTTCAAAGTGATTATTTAAGATGGTGATGTTCTTGACAATTTAGGACACAATTGGGGTAGTGAGCATGACCCTGACACACCCAGTTGTGCCCCGGGGGTAGAGCAAGGAGGGAGGTATCTCATGTATCCATATTCTGTAAGCGGGTATGAGCATAATAATCAAGTAAGTATCCCCAATTTTTAAATATTTATTACAATTCAAGAACTACATGATTTTAATTTTGCAATTCCTTTAGTTTTTGCACTTTTTTTTTTCTAGTAAATGAATTTAAAAGCGTGTAAGCATATAAGAGAACATGTATTTCATTTTAATTTTCCTTGTTTTGTTTCAGATTTTTTCATCCTGTAGTAAAAGATATATCTATAATGTCATTAAAACTAAAGGTCCTGGGTGCTTTACAGGTAAACACTGAATTTTTGTTTAGAGTGAAGTAGATAAATTTATCATATAGCTAATATCAGTTTTGAATTTCTTCTTGTGTGTATAATTCTTTACTTGTATGCCCTGAGGGGCCCCAAATTGGGATCAATAAATCTTATCTTATAGCTAATAAATAGTCTATGTTAAAAAACTACTAAAAGTCTAGAGAATTTTAGTGTTCAATATCTTGGCGTTTTATTGAACACTGAGTTGTATTACATATATGAGTATGCCCAAAACATTCCGAATACGAGCGTTCAATATCGAATGCCCCGTTGTAAACCAAAAATGTCGTCTGGTCAACCTCTCATAGGCAAATTTATGATAGGTAGTAGCAGCTAGGTAAGATATGTTTATTTCCATGCAAAATTGAATTTATTAATAATTTAGTGCATGTACCTATTAGCCTCAATAATACCTCAATAAGTAGACCATGATGTTTGGAAGGGTCGTTGGAATGATGTGATATTGAACACTTACAGGCCAGACGTTAATTTAAATACTGATACTGAAAATTTTTCTTGAGTTATTTAGTTGAAATAATTAATATACTGTAAATCAATTGGAGATGTTTTAGCTGTATAATAGAGGAATTATTGAACTTATTTTGGTGAATATTGGCACTCTTTGTCTGTACAAATGTACTGGCAAGCTTATGCATTTGTACAGTCAACTCATGATACTCACCAATATAAGTTCAATAACCCTATAATATTCATAATTGAAGTTATCAAAGATTATATGTGGTGTGGTATATTTACAGAATATAATGTTAATCATAAGTGGTTTGAATGTATGAATTATTGACAGTAACTTTGGGGCATACATTTTCAATGAAAACTACATGTATGTCTAAATACCATTATTCATGTATATGAATGTATTCCCTCATTATAAAGCAGTCCTATACATGCCCTATAAAGTGACTGGTGATTTCTATGTATATGATTTCAGAGAGTAATACTTTAACTGTGTGCGGTAATGGTCGGATGGAGGCCACGGAGGAGTGTGACGCAGGGTTTAACGGAGATAATTGCTGTACTTCCGATTGTAAATTACGTGCCGGGGCCATCTGTAGTCCGATGAACCATGAATGCTGTGATGATAAATGTAGTACTGCTCACAATCAAACAGTTTGTCATGCCCTGCCCGACAGTCTGGTCTCGTGTAAAGAGGATTCAAAGTGCAAGTATCCTTGAAAAGCAATGTTATCATTGCGTCCATACATGTAGTTAGAGGCAGCTACATTACTATTACACAGTACTTGGACAATACATGAATATTTTGTTAGGGTAAGGTGTGAGATTATAAGGTTGATGATAAAAACACTAAGTTCAAGATCCCCCAAAAGTTTCTGTTGTCTTACATAAAAAATTATTACACAAAAAGTGCACATTGTACGTGAGACTTTATTTTATTGGTATTTGAAATGATTTTTAGAAATATGAGTTATTTACAGTGTTAAAAATACTAGTATCTATTAAAAAATCAAATTTCAATCAACTTTCATCACATTTAGAATTAAGGGGGTCTTAATGAAAACTATGTGAATTAACTTTTGATCTCACCCCTAACAAGATTTGTCTTCATAATCGAGAAATTAATAAATCGCATTGATTTGATCAAGTCATTTCATTCTTTGTAATAATGATTATAGTAAACATATCTGTGAACAAAGTTTAAAAACTGAAACTCCTGTTAATCACAGAAATGTAACATTTCTCATGTGAACACACTTCTCTTATGAATATATCCAGTCAATGCATGCACTTAATCAAGTCCCAAATTTGTTTAAAATGAAGAATTCCTTATCTGGTGCCCAGTGGAGTAGATTTGACTTGTCCTGAGGCAGAGAATAAAGATGATGATGAGCCATGTGTGGACGGGTTTGTAGACAGTACCATATCTAGTCAATGTTCATCCTTTTGTATACTGTCCTTAACAATTTTCAGTTGAAATCATTGAAACTTCAGTTCTGGTTAATTTAACAGAATGAAAGTGAGTTTTACTAAGATTTACAATTTACATGAATTACAATGTACATGTTTTAAACAGTATGCACACATTTATTTTTTATGTGTTTTATAATGACTTTATTGCAGTGGAAAGTGTAAAAGTGGAGTTTGTCGTAATTTTTGTGAGTTACGTGACAAGGTGCCTTGCATATGTTCCAAAGGTACTTACAGTTCTGTAATTATTAGCAAATTCATTTGTGGTTCATTCTCCAGTATTTATGGCATCAAATTCAATAACTTTATAAGTTTGTGCATGACACCTAATCCCACCTCTGTTTTCAGAGGTCTTTGTTAGCTCTGCTCATCATTTGTATTGTTTAAATGGACATTTGAGAATGATCAACATCTTCATATTTCATGCAGATAACACTGCTAATTTTGTTGACCCATTTTCCCAGTTATTATTCCTTATAATGCCTTGCACACCTACAATGTATTATTCTGACATTGTAGAAAGTGGACATGCATGTCACCGCTGTTGTCAAGCAATAAATGACACGCAATGCCTGCCTGAACCCTCTCCCCCTACCCTTCCGGAGAACCTTCCCAATGGCCGGCCATGTTTCCATGGAGTGTGTGTGGATGTGAGTAGTCGGGATTGTGTAACATTGAAATCATGTACATGTAATTATCACAACCCCTACAACAGACAGATTAGGGAGAATCCAGCCATATAAAGCAGGGAATGAAATTATCACAACCCCTACAACAGACAGATTAGGGGAGAATCCAGCCATATAATGCAGGGAAATCAATGTAATTATCACAACCCCTACAATAGACAGATTAGGGGAGAATCCAGCCATATAAAGCAGGGAAATCAATGTAATTATCACAACCCCTACAATAGACAGATTAGGGGAGAATCCAGGGAATGTTGGAGTGGGTGTTCCTCAGATCCCTGTTTGCTTGAAATTTGTTTCACGGTGATCTGTTTTTTGCTCACCTCAACTAAGTTTGGGGGAGCTTATGTGATAACCTCCGTGTTGGTGTCCCAGGTTTAAGTTTTTGGTGTAGTACTTCTGTGCCCTACATTAATCAGAGATGCAAGGAAGATGCTTCAAGTGTGTTTCATTGTACCATTGAAGATTTCAGATGCCGCAATTTCAGCTAAGAAATGACCTGGTAAAGCTTTTAGGGCAGGTTAAGGTTTTTAGAGCAGGTTAAAGTAATGTTGAACAAACTTGCATGGATGATACATCTAAGGATGCACATTACCAGGCTTGCTTCGGATGCTGGATCTGACCTACATTTTTTGGATGAGTGACCAGGTTAAAGTTTTTGGAGCAGCTTTATTCTAAAGTAACTATAAGGCCTATGTCAACCAAACTTGCATAGATGATACATCTAAGGATGCACACTACTGGACTCCCTTCGGATGCTGGATCTGACCTACATTTCCATATGAGGGATCAGGGTAATTTTTTTGGAGCAGGTTCATTCTAAAGTAACTATTTGTTGCAGCTTGACCAAACTTGCATGGATGATACATCTAAGGATGCACACTACTTGATTTGCTTCAGATGCTGCATTTGACTTACATTATCCAGATTAGTGACCAGGTTAAGTTTTTGCGCAGGTCCATTACCAAGAAATTACAAGACCTACCTGAACCAAACTTGCATGAATGATGCATCGAGGGATAAACACTCAAACTTGCTTCAGATGCTGGATTTGAATTACATTTTCTGGATGAGTGACTAGTTTGAAGTTTTTGGATAGGTTCATTCGCAACTAACTCGCATTAACTGCAAGCCCTATCAGATCAAAATTGCATAAATGTTGCATCTTGGGATGTACACTACTAGATTATAAGATTAATGTGGGACTTTGCCTTACTTGAAGACAACATTTCTTGAGGTGGGCTCTGTAATCTCTGATTATACCTATGCTTAGCTCACATGAGACAAAGTCTGAAGTGAGCTTTTCTGATCAAAGATTGTCCGGCATTTGTCTGTCGTGTGTTGTCTGTAAACTTTTTCATATTTTCAACTTAATCTCAGGAACCACTGGACCAATTTCAACCAAACTTGCCACAAAGCATCCTTGGTTAATTTAGAGGTGATCAAAGTTTTTCACAAATGAAAGGCCACACCCTCTTTCAGGGGAGATAATTAAGAATTAGTGAAAATTTAATGTCATCTTTTAAAAATAATCTCGATAAAACTAAGTCAGAAAAATAAAACTTAAATGTAAAAGCTAGATTAGATAGTGTAGATTCAAGTTTATTCAAATCACGATCCCTGGGGCTTGGGTGGGGCCACAGTGGGTGATCAAACTTTTACATAGGAATATATAGGAAAAATCTGTAAAATTCTTTTAAAGCCATGATTAGTAATATAGATATGGAAGCTTCTTCAGTTATTAAAGATTCAAGTTTGTTCAGATCTTCTATTACATATTACACATGTAAATAACAGACATGTTATAATGAAAAACCATGTTAAGATACAGTAAAAATAATACATACATACATGTATGTTAATATGTTAATTTCAGTTAAAGAGAAAAAAATGATCATTCTTTAAGATATTGTTTGGTCTATTACAGGGTGTGTGTGAAAAACAGAAGAATCATATTGTTCAGAGGCTATTCAGCATTATTGATACTATTACTGTTGATCAGTTTGGTAAGTTGACTTGGTGATTGCTGGGGACATCATTTAATTGTGAAGATCAAGTCATAATTCATTCAATACCTAATTTTTTGTTCACCATACTTTAACACTTGTATTTAACAAAAAGTTCCACATTAGAAATGCTATAAAGTTAGATATGGATGATATACATTGTATCGTAGTAAATGTTGAAGAACAGATGTACCTAGTAAGTACTGAGATTTGGACATCCTTGTTTGTTTTCTCTTTTTAGTTGAGTTTATGAAAAGAAATATTGTTGGTACCATTCTTGTGTTCTCTTTGTTACTGTGGATTCCTGCCAGCTGTACATTTAGTTATTTTGTAAGTATTACCAAATTAATGAATTAATCAAATTAATAAGAAGTATTTTGAGCTAAAAAATAGTGTTTAAAATAATTTTCATGTCATGATGTGTATTTAAATGTATGTCAATTTGACATGTATTTACACGTGTTCAGGAATACAAATTTCTTCGAAAATTAAACTTGTGAAGAATTACGTTTTAAGGTCACCTGAGTCACTCGAGTGACCTATTGCTATCTGTTTGTGTCCATCGTCGTGCGTTGTCCATCATGCATCAGGTGTTAACATTTGAACATTTTCATCTTCTTCTTTGGAACCACTGAATCAACTTCAACCAATTTTAGCATAGAACATCTATGAGTGAAGGGGAACAAAAATTATGAATTTCATGATCCCTGCCCCCCATAGGGTCTGAGGGGTGGTTATAAAACCATCAAAATTTATGCAATCTTTGAAATTCTTCTTCTTTACTTCTGGACATCAAGCAGTTGCCATGACTGTAATAAGCATTGAGCCCTCTACCAAAATTTTGAAATTCATGCCCCAAGGGTCAAGGGGTTCTGGTGCTAGGATGGGGCTATATTGATAATTTATTAATATTAATAATTTCATGTCCCCTGTATATTTAGCAGATAAACTAGGTGTGTGTTAATGCTGAGCAAGGGTGCCTCTACCAAAATTAATAATTTCATGGCCTCTGTATATTTTGCAGATAAAATAGGGGTGTGGTAATGATGAGCTAGGGTGCCTTTTCCAAAATTATGAATTTCATGGCCCCTGGGTATGGGGTTCTGGTGTTAGGACAGGGCTCTTGTGCTTATACAGTGAAATTGCATTAATTCTTTGAAAATCTACTTTTCTGCTCCAGTGAATCAAGGAAAAAAATCAATTGCATGATTATGATGAGCAAGGATGCCTCCCAAAATTGAATTTCTTGGCCTCCAGGGTCAGGGGTTTGGTGGTGGTGAGGGCTCCATGAATTATATAGTGAAAATGCATTATTTCTTCTCTGCTCCTGGGTATTAAAGTAAAAATAAACTAAGTGCATGGTATGGTAAGAAATGGTGCCTCTTCTGAAATTGTAAATTTCTTGGCCCCAGGGTCATGGATTCTGTTTAGGGTAGGACTCTATTGATCATATATAATGATAATGCATAAATTCTTTAAGAAATTTCTTCTCTGTCCCTGTTTAACAAACATACAAAGTGCTTGGTTATGATAAGCAAGGGTGACTCTACCAGAATCTCGAAATTCATGGCCCCTGGGTCAGGGGTTCTGGTGTTAGGGCAGGGCTCTAATGATGATATAGTTAAAATTCATAAATTCTTTAAAAATTTTCTCCTCTGTCTTTTTGTATTTGTAGTAGACAAACTGATTGCACAGATGTGCAATGATGCCTCTTCCTAAAATATATAATTCGTGGCCTTTGGGTTAGAGGTTTTTGTGGTGGGAGGGGCTTTATCCATTATATAGTGAAAATGCATTAGTGTGTTGGCACTGACAAGTACAATCACAAATAGATATGCTTAATGATTTGTTATTGAGTTCTACACTAACTATTTTGCTGATTCCTGATCATCATATTCTTTTGATTTTAAGCAATATATCTTCATCTATCTGTTTTTGTGTTATTTTATACTTCAATGGATCCTTTGCAGTGTTGTATTACACTCAGGTGATCATTAACGCCCTTGGACCTCTTGTAATATTTCATGAGGACTTTAACTCAATATCATATAATTATAGCACTCAATATGCAACTGTCTGGAAAAAAATAATTCACCTACCCTCTGTTAAATAGAAAAGGTATTAAATAGGTGTGCATTGTATTTCTAAATCAGTAAGATACATACATACATGTATATGTAATGGACATTTTCATTAATTCACAGGACAAAAAGAGAGAAAAAAGATTACGACATGGAAGATGGAAAAGTCGTTCAGTAAGTTATTCCTTGATGATTTATCATGAACTAGCATAGATTTTTTGTTATAACTAGATAAATCAGTTATTATTAACAACGAATTCATAGTCAAAAGGTTTACACCGTATGCACTATTGGATCTTTTATTTTTGTTTTGTTGGGTAACACAAAACAATCTTTTAAACATATACATGAACAAGGATGGAAACCGTTAGAGGCAAGATTTGAAGAAGTTTGTATCTGAATTTAAAATCATTAGACTGATATTATTTAAATATTCAATACAGAGATACACCTTACTAATGGACTATCTAGAGGCAGAAGGGCAGAAAATCAAGCAAGCCGGAAGTTTTCGTGTAAAACACTTTGGTGGAAGTGTGATCCGCCACACTGGGTTCCGTCCAGGACACATGTACCTAACTCAGTCCAACTTCACCAAAGAAGTCTTACAGTACGCAGATGACTTAAAGGAATCCGCAGTCTAAAAATGTCAGATGTGAAGAGTGTATTACCTATATCTTTCAAATGTGTGTGATAGTCTATAACCAAAAGTGCATTATTTTGTATCTAATTCTCAGTCAATTCATACTTGTATTTACAATGGCTTTATTTTTTATGTTACAGTTTTTATATTGTGATGGGAACAAGTATATTTGTATATGTTTTGCACAGAAAGTGCATTTATTGATCAACTTAAATCCAGATTTTATGTATTTTTATGTTTTAAAAACATTTATTAAAACAATTTTAACATGGTAAGACTTTGTTATTTTGATGAAACTTGCTTTAAAGCTGAACACGACTCATAAATAGGCATACACCATATTCGATTATACTATCTACAATAGCAGCATCGGGGTATACCCTTCACTTTCGTTACACCTGACTGCTTTATTTTCATGGGTATCAGCGTGGAATGGCGACATGTGTTTGTGCTGTTTGTGCTGGTTATCTTACATTACATTTGTTTACATTTTATTGCAGTCAGATGTATTTGTGTTTGTTTGCACACTGCACTGACCTGTGCAACTGTTGTAAGTTTCTTCAGTATCTTACTCTCCTGCAATAGAACGTACGAGTTGCTGTGTAGCATGCGTCTGTCTACACCGGTGACGACTGATTACACTGAACAGTGACTAAGTGAGCGGCTTTATATAGGGGCCTTCAGATGTAGCAAGTGAATAATCGAATATGGTGGACAAAATCCTTTTACGAAGGGTGTTCAGCTTTAAGGAAGATCATACTAGTGATGTGCCAATAGGTTTTCAGCATGAAACACATTAGCGCAGGGCATTTAGATATTGGTATCAAATCCAGACTGCTTTACATGTAATTTTATGTTATACAAGAGGCCCAAGGGCCTTGAATCGCTCTTCTGATAAACTGTACAACCTATCACTTCTTTTTGAAGCCTCTAAGTATCCTGTGTATTTAGACAAACCCTTGAAATTCCAAAGGTAGGTCATCATGACCTACAGTTTAGATGAAACACACTGAGAACCAGAGATGATTCTAAACCAATTAGTACATGAGAGTTGGTCATGGTGACCTACTTATCACTTGTCATTCTCTGAGGACCCAAGATGCATCAACTAAGTTTGATGATTCTAACCCAATTAATACCTAAATTATTTTAAAAATTATATCCACAAAATTTCAAAAGTAGGTCACACAGTGACCTACTTTTCAGATGACATACTTTGAGGACCCAAGATGCATCAACTGACAAAGTTTGATGATTCTAAGCCAATTAGTACCTGAAATATTTAATTAAAGCCATAAATTTTTAAAAGTAGGTCATGGTGACCTACTTTTCAGTCAACCTTCTCCAAAGACCCAAGATGCATCAACTGACAAAGTTTGATGATTCTAAGCTAATTAGTGCCTGAAATATTTAATTATAGTCATATAAATTGAAAAGTAGGTTACGGTGACCTACTTTTCAGTTGACGTTTTTTGAGGACCCAAGATGCATCAACTTACAAAGTTTTATGATCATAGGCCTTAAAATTCCAAATTATGCCTCTAAAATGCTTTGAAATCGAATGCCTGCAAAGTTCAAAAAGGTCACTGTGACCTACTTTTTAATACATGTAAATATGTTTTATGGCCCCAAGATGCATAATCTTACAAGATTTAATGATTCTAAACCTCTCAGTCTTCGAATTAATGACCTTAATTGTTTTGAAAAAGATTAGCCATAAAATTCAAAAAGTAGGTCAAGGTGACCTACTTTCTAGTAGACGTACTCCAAGGACCCAAGATACATCAACTGACAAAGTTTGATGATCACAGGCCTTAAATTGTTCAAAATATGCCTCTAAATCACATTGAAAAAGAATGGCCGCAAAATTTAAAAAGTAGGTCACCATGACCTACTTTTGAGTCAACATGATATGAGGTCCTTAGATGCATCAACTGATAAGATTTGATGATTCTAGTCCTTATAGTAAGCAAAATATCAACATTTTAATAGAATGTAATTTTTGGTCAACTTTGAAGTGACCTTGAGACCATGCCCTTTGCCCCAGGGTAAATGCCCATGCAAATTTAATTTACAACATATCCTCATCCTTTTGTATAAGTTTGGTGATAATCTGCCAAGTGGTTCTTGAGAAGAAGATTTTTTAGCAACGAGTACTTTTGTTTCTATTTTCCTAATTATCTCCCCTTCTTTAAGGGTCACACCCCTAGTTTTAGTATAAAGGGGAGCCCTTGGGCCAAGGATACCCTGTGACAAATTTGACAATAATTGGCCAAGGGGTTCTTGAGTTATGTCCCATATTCTAAAAAGTTTACGCACACCACACAAATGGCCGTAGCATTAACTCTTTGAGCCTTTGGCTCAGAAGAGCTAAAAATATATATACATGTATCACTAACTGTATGTATATTTACTTTTACATGTTATAAAATCTTACTATTTCTTTTTTTTTACATCCATTAACAAGAAAATCAATTTAAAGAATGTGTCTTACTGCAAATGTTCACTTTTCCTATAGTGAATACTATTGCAACTCTGTTATACCTGAGCTAACTAGAAATATCCATTGCAATACATCTACCACCTTTACCACAGGGTTTAAAAATAAAAACTATCACTAATTGTAGAAGTATATTTGCTTTCTGTTGAAGACTGCCTTGCAGTAAGCAATGGGGCAGCAGTAAGCTGAAATAAGCAACAGAAGAAAACTACTGTGGGTGTAAAAGCTTTATAAATAAAACATGATGTATAAAAAATCAACAAATACAATTCTGCCCTCACTCAATCATGTACAGACACATACACACACACAAAGGTATGTTTTAAAGTCTTCACACAAATATCACGAAGGTGTAAAATGAACAACCATGTAATGAATGAACAACCGTGAATCACATTTATCTGCGACCAGAAGTCCCGAACACAAGATTGACTTGTCTGTCATCAAATTGATGCAGATCTTTGAGTTTTTGCATAAGGTGTACGATAAGTCCCGCCTGACGTGATTTGATTTTCACTTGGCGGGGATCACTAGAATCATTGACTGTGTAAATCTCCAGGAAGGAGGGTTGGTCATCCGGGTGAGACCATCGAATGTCAGAGTACAGAAAACTGTAAAGCATCACCTGTAAAAAATACAAAATAACTGTAAATAAACCTCACAGAAACCTGTAAAGCATCACCTGTTACAGACCAAAACTAGAAATATGTCCATAGGACATGAATGCCCCGCCGAGAGTATATTAGTAATGCAACATGAAAATTTGTATTAGTGTATGAAATCTGATGAGAATATCTTGAATAGTTTCTTTAAAATTGAAATTAAAATCTAAAAAGTTGGATATAGATGATAAATTCTCGCCAAATTATGTATAAGTGCATAAACATACATAAACATATCTTAAATGGTTAAAATTAAGCAAAATGCAAATCTAAGAAAAATGAGGTCAAGGTAACAGGAAAGTTCAAGGTCAAATGTTTTTGATGCAGTTGAATACTTCTCACAAATACATATCAGCATATTTTAGTTTGATAAAAATATTTTGAATGGCTTATTTAAAACTGAGCTAAACACTAATTTAAAGTAAATGAAGTTAGGTTCAAAGGAAAGGTCAAGGTCAAAAAATGTTGATGCAGTTGAAAAGGTTACATCAGTATGTATTAGCATATGAAGTTTGATAAATATATTATGAATGTTTTCTTTAAAACTGAGTTAAACACAAATAGTGAAAAGTGAGGTCAAGGTCAAAGGAAAGGTCAAGGTCAAAAAATATTGATGCAGTTGAAAAGCTTACATCAGTATGTATCAGCATATGAAGTTTGACACTAATTTAAGAAAAGTGAGAAGGTCAAAGGAATGGTCAAGGTAAAAAAATGTTGATGCAGTTGAATAGCTTACATCAGTATGTATTAACATATGCAGTTTGATAACACTATATTGAATGATATCTTTAAAACTGAGCTAAACACTAATTTAAGAAAAGTGAGGTCAAGGTCAAAGGAAAGGTCAAGGTCAAAAAATGTTGATGCAGTTGAATAGCTTACATCAGTATGTATCAACATATGAAGTTTGATTACACTACCTTGAATGGTATCTTTAAAACTGAGCTAAACACTAATTTAAGAAAAGTGAGGTCAAGGTCAAATGAAAGGGCAAGGTCAAAAAATGTTGATGCAGTTGCAAAGCTCTCATCAATATCGATCAGCATATGAAGTTTGATAAAAATATCTTGGATAGTTTCTTTGAAACTGAGCTTTGAACAGAGCTAAATTCAAAGTGTGATGGAAAGACAGACGGAAGACTGACATGACAAACACTATATGCCCTGGCCATGTTCATGGCGGGGCATAAAAACGACTGTAAATAAACCACACAGAAAACTGTAATGCATCATCTGTAAAACAGACAAAAATGACTGTAAATAAACCCCACAGAAAACTGTAATGCATCATCTGTAAACAGACAAAAAATGACTGTAAATAAACCCCACAGAAAACTGTAAAGCATCATCTGTAAACAGACAAAAAATGACTGTAAATAGACCCCACAGAAAACTGTAAAGCATCACCTGTAAACAAAGACAAAAAATGACTGTAAATAAACCAAACTGAAAACTTTAAAGCATCACCTGTAAACAAAGAAAACAAGATGTGTTTGTGAAACACTATGCCCCCGTATGGCAGCTTATGTCGAAGGTTAAAGTTTCTCAAATGCAAGTCAAAATCCAGGCCAAAAGATAAAAAATGTTGATACCCAAAGAAAGATCTTGTCTCGAGGAAAACACCTGTGAAATTTGAAAGACCTAGATACAACTGTTCAAAAGTTATGGTGAAGGTTAAAGTTTTTAAAATAAAAGTCAAACGTCAAGGTCAAGGTCAAAGTGGTTGGTATCCAAAGGAAGATCTCGTCAGAAGGATTACATATGTGAAGTATGAAAGCCCTAGCACCAACCATTCAAAAGTTATGGCCAAGGTTAAAGTTTTTCAAAAATAGGTCAAACTCCTAGGTCAAGGTCAAAGGGTGAAAGTGGTTGGTATCCAAAGGAAGGTCTTGTCACAAGGATTACATATGTGAAGTATGAAAGCCCTAGCATCAACCATTCAAAAGTTATGGCCAAGGTTAAAGTTTTTCAAAAGTAGGTCAAACTCCTAGGTCAAGGTCAAAAGGTCAAAGACGTTGGTATTCAAAGGAAGGTCTTGTCACAAGGATTACATATGTGAAGTATGAAAGCCCTAGCATCAACC